GTTTTTGAGTTACTGTTGCCTTTCTATCATCTCCAACCAGTCTGCCATTCTCCTCTGACAACAACAAGGCATTTTCATCCACACAACTGCCGCTCACTGGATATTTTCTCCTTTTCGGACCATTCTCTGTAAACCCTAGAGATGGTTGTGTGTGAAAATCCCAGTAGATCAGCAGTTTTTTAAATACTCAGACCAGGCCATCTGGCATCAACAACCATGCCACGTTCAAAGTCACTTAAACCCCCTTTCTTCCCCATTCTGATGCTCGGTTTGAACTTCAGCAAGTCATCTTCACCATGTCTAGATGCCTAAATGCACTGAGTTGCTGTCATGTGATTGGCTGATTAGCAGTTTATGTTCCGAAACAATTGAACAGGTGTATCTAATAAAGTGGCCATGAGTGTATATTAAGGATCCAGAAATCACGTCGGTAATATTTTTGCTCCAGTATGCAGTACAGCTGTAATCGGGCGGACTGACAACTCATGGGGCCCCCGGACAATAGGGGATCATGGGGCCCCTGTGTCCTTGCCCACACTCAAAAAACACAAAAAAAAAAGCCTTTAAAAAGGTACCATGGGAATTTCATGGGGCCCCCTACGGACCCCAGGCCCTCGGGCAGGGCCCGAGTGCTCGAATGGTCAGTCCGCCCCTGGCTGTAATAAATATGACTGATGTATGGTCAGCCTGGGAAATACCAATTTATTTCATAATGGTGCTTCCAATTGTCCAATTTTGATAACATTTTGCTTCAAGCTCCTGTGTCTGATCCTTGTCTTACTAAAGCAGCTGTAAAAATTTTTCTGGATCAATTTAAACCCTTATTTGTCAAAGCCGGACAGAGAGAAATTGATGGGAGGATTCATGGTCAATCAGTTGAAATGTCGGACCAGCAGGCCTTTGTAGGAAGCAGAAAATATGGGCTTTCTCTGCCAAAACCAAAGTACCTGCCTGGGAATGGAGAGGCTTCGGGGTTTATTCCAGCTCTGCTCCTGACAATTATCTTTGAAGAGTAAAAAGAGTAACTGACATGCCAGGGTGTTTATTGGTTTGGCCCTAGAGCCGTTTCGCTGGTGGTTTTTGTTAGTTTGCTGCTAATACATCAGCTTTCATTGATTCTCATCACTGTATGTTGGAGATGTATGGAATTGTGTGTGCAAAAAATGAGATGGCATTTTGCACAGATACCAATTATTACTGAGGATAGTTTTAAAGTGGATATAAACCTCAGACATGGAATCTGAACAAAGCATATCCCTCTATAGTGTGTAATTGTCTCAGTTAAGAGCACTAAGTGTCATTTCTGTCTATCAGCATGAATCTGACAAGTTTTCCTGACACCAAGAAAAAAATGGTGACGGGAGGGGCCTCCAGCAGATTGACAGCTTCAACTCTGTTTCTGTGAGCTGTGTGAAGGGGAGGTGTGTCTCTTCCCTCCAATCAGCTCTCAAAGCTTTTCTCACTGAGCTCTGCAGAGTGTTACTTTGGCTCTCCACCCCTTTTTTCTGAACTCTGACAAGCTTTATAAGTTCAGCACTTTGAACATCTGTAGAGGAGAGAAGATAAAACAGATACAACTTATAAAGGGGGATTTGTTTCATCTCTGAGACAAGTCGCTTCACTGGGTTTATGAAAGGGTTTACAGCCCACTGTAAAGTGTTACTAAACCCAGAACTGTAAAATCAGTCTGTATATGCAGTAAAGCATGCTTGTTATACTCACTGTGGTACCTAAGGGGTTAATCCTTCGCATTGTGTAAAAAATCCGTTTGATCCTGACTGCTCTGTTCCTCTACTTGTTCAAGCATCCACCTCTTATCTCCTGAGCAATTTGCACACCCTCAGTTTAGTGTGTACTGCTAGAGAGGATTTCAGCACTGGTCAGACAGAGGAGGTCGGGGGATTTGCATCCTCATAGAACAGAATAAAAACTCCTCCTGCAAGCTTTAACCTGTGCTCTGCTGGACACTGATAGAAGTCACAAGACTGCTCTAACTGCTGATGAGAAAAAGGATTTAGCAGTTTATATTTACTAAAATAATTGCACTTCCATTTTCTGTGTACTGTGGGAGGCCAGATATAGTGGATGCAGGGTCCGGGGTTTAGTAACACTTTAAGTCATGATCCTTAATTGAAGGTTGAGACATGTCCCTCCATATATTGGTATCACTGAAATGTATGGCTAGGCCGGATGGTCTTCAAGGGCTCCACGTGCCCTGATCTGAGGGTTCCATTTCATGTAGAATATACACATTGTTTGTTTTCCTCCTCCCATATTAGATTTCACGTGATGTTTACTCACTTGGAATTCTAAACACAGGTGCAGGTAAAAGACAAAAACTCCGCCAGTGCTTTTGAACTGTAAATAGCAACACGCCATGGTGCTCACAACACCTCTACACTCCTGACCTTGGACTCGAAAAGCTGTTTATTTGCTGGAACCGGACTGCATTCCATTCTCTGTACAAAGCTGAAGGCAGGCTTCTGGGTGGAAAGACTGGACTGCCCGTCTATGGCATCTGTCAGAATCAATGAGGATTTTGGTCTATTATCACTGAGCCAGTAAATGGAGTATTCTGTAAGAGCAGGGTGATGGAGCTCGGGGTGGAGGAATGTGGGAGGACAAGGTGTTCTCAGACACAATTCTGTGTAATGCCCAAAGGAATTTATAATATGGGACAAGAAAATCAGCTGTTAGGGACATTCCGTTCCACAAAGCCTGAACTTGGTGGCCGGTCTGTAAACCATTGTGTGTATTCTATTCTGCTGCTGAAGGACTGAGCAGACAGACCACGACAAATCATATATACTGAGGTACCATACAAGCAATTGCCAGGATGCTGTCACCAGCTATTGCCGGCTTCATCTACAAGGGTCAGGAAAGTGGACTGTGCATGCGTGGGTTTATAGAGTGCTCACTTCTGTGATGCTGGGGGACGAGAGCTCTGCATATGCTGGGGGACGAGAGCTCTGCATATGCTGGGGGACGAGAGCTCTGCACATGCGGGGGACGAGAGCTCTGCACATGCTGGGGGACGAGAGCTCTGCACATGCCGGGGGACGAGAGCTCTGCACATGCCGGGGGACGAGAGCTCTGCACATGCCGGGGGACGAGAGCTCTGCACATGCCGGGGGACGAGAGCTCTGCACATGCCGGGGGACGAGAGCTCTGCACATGCCGGGGGACGAGAGCTCTGCACATGCCGGGGGACGAGCGCTCTGCACATGCCGGGGGACGAGCGCTCTGCACATGCCGGGGGACGAGCGCTCTGCACATGCCGGGGGACGAGCGCTCTGCACATGCCGGGGGACGAGCGCTCTGCACATGCCGGGGGGCGAGCGCTCTGCACATGCCGGGGGGCGAGCGCTCTGCACATGCCGGGGGGCGAGCGCTCTGCACATGCCGGGGGGCGAGCGCTCTGCACATGCCGGGGGGCGAGCGCTCTGCATATGGTGTGTCTTAACTTCTAGTCTTTACAAGGCAGATTGCTTTCAATGGGAGATTTTCAGCCATGCTTTGGTGGTGCACTTATGGCCCACAGGTATGGCACCTAAGCCTGGATCTTTTTTATTTTTGATTCCCAGCACAAGTGAAGTGGATGGAGAAATCTTCCCCACTGTGCCATTGCATTCTGACAGCAGGACTCCTCCATTGTCAGAATACACTGATCAGCGGCTGCATCTGAGTCACTGATCCACAACATGCCTGAAAACAGAAGTCAATCATTATAGTTTGAAATGCGTCAGTCCCCACTGAACCAGCCAAATTTTCATCCATATATAGCCAGCTTAAACTAAACAAAATTTTCCTAGGTCCCCTTGCCTGCATAATTAATTTTATACATACAAGAACATAGCTTTTTACAAACCCTGGGGGTCTTTTTTCTTTTGGCATTCCAGTATAAAGCTCACATTTGCCAGCTGTTCATAAATAACAGGCTATGCAGGTGTTCACCTTTTCTATAGTGATGGACCGATATATCGGCCGCCAAAAATTATTGGCCAAAAATGGGGTTATTGGCGTGTTGCCAACAATTTAAAAAAAAAAAAAAAAAAAAAAAGGTGCCAATATTGACAATTGACTTCAGTGCAAAATTGCGTCCCATGGACTTCAGTGCAAAATTGCGTCCCATGGACTTCAGTGCAAAATTGCGTCCCATGGACTTCAGTGCAAAATTGCGTCCCATGGACTTCAGTGCAAAATTGCGTCCCATGGACTTCAGTGCAAAATCGTCCCATGGACGTCCGCATGGACTTAAATGCAGAAAGGCTCCACATTGGCTTCCATGCATGATCACATTCCATTGACTTCAATGCAACATCTCAACCCACAGACTTTAATGCTAAATCATGTCCTATTGACTTCAATGAAAAATCGCGTCCCATTGACTTTAATGCTAAATCCATGTCCCATTGACTTCAATGCAAAACACCTCTGCTTAATTTTTTTTTAATTTTTATATATATTTCATTTTATTTTGTGTCCAATTTTTGTGGGTTACTTTCAATAAAAGTTATTTTACGTTACTAGATTGTATTTTTTTTTTAAATTCATATTAATTTAAATTTGTGATATTAATTAAAAAATACAATTTTATATATAAAAAAAACTGTCCATTTAGGTTTCAGTTTTCGGCCAAGTGCACCCTGAATTTTCAGATTCGCTCCAGAATTTTTATTTCGGTGCACCACTACTTTTAAAAAAAAAAATAGGATAAATATTTTGCGTCCAGTAGAGTGGGATAGTATTTCGGGTATTGCAATGGCTATTGAGTGCTGGAAACTGTTGTGTGTACATTGCTTACTCCACTCATTCAGTACTGAAACTTGTGTGATGCTTCTGCTTCATAGAATTGCTGTTAAGGAATATTTGTTGGATTTGTAGGATGATAATGTGATTTTAGACACACATCAGCTCAGTGTCAGGAGTAGGTGGCAAAGCCACTTATTTGACAAAGAGTTCCATTCACCATTCTTCTCTTTTCTGTTTTCCAGGAAAGTATGCCACAGACACCAATATTTCCCAGCATGCTTGGCTCTGCCTGTAGTGGACAGGTGCAGCCAGAAATGGGCGAGCAGTCTGGAGATCCTGTTTACCAAGATGGCTGTTTGGTGTCTGGGTCCTTGGAAGCCTTAATTGAACGCTTGGTGCCCACAGTGGATTACTATCCTGATGTAAGTACTCATTTGTAGAATTCTTCTGCATTGACACTCTAGTCATTTGTATATCATTGTGATATATGTATACATTGCAAGACATGAAGGACTGTTACATTCTAAATAAATGTTGGAAAATGTGGAAGTGTTGCCAAAAAAGATCAAATAGATTCTCTGGGTCAGGTTCAGCTAGAACAATTGTTTGAGTGGATTTCATTAGATTTAGGGCTGGGATCATTGGTTTCACATACAGGCGTACCTCGGTTTTTGAATTTAATGCGTTCTCCGGGACGTTTTGTATTGCAAAAAATTTGTTTTCCCATAGGAATGCATTGAAAACCACCGTTCCGGAGGTCAGAAAAAAGTAAAAGTCTTATCTGTTCAAAACTCTCTATACAGTGCACTTTAAAGGCATGAATACTGTACAGGCACATGATTAAAATAAAAAAAAATATAAATGCATTGAAAACCAATTAATCCGTTACGGAGGTCAGAAAATCAGAAAAAAAGTTAAAAAAAAAGTCTTATCTGTTCAAAATTCTCTAAAAAGTGCACTTTAAAGGTATAAATACTGTACAGGGACATGATTAAAAATTAATTTGTAAATGCATTGAAAACCAATTAATCCGTTCTGGAGGTCATCAAAAAAGTAAAAAAAAAAAGTCTTATCTGTATTGCAAAAAAAAACTTGTAAACAAAGGCATTATTTTCAATGGATTTTCATTCGTAAACTGAAAATTATGTTAACCGAGGCATTCGTAAACCGAGGTATGCCTGTACTTATCTAAATCCGGCCATAGATGGATCGTATCTTGTCTGGTTCAGCAGGGACCGGCCAAGATTCAATCCATCTATGGGCAGGCTGGTTGTACCCAGGTCGATCCATTGATTCACTTGGGCACAACCAGCCTGACATATTTTTTTACATACGATTACTGCTGGTGGCAATAGCTGCTAGCAGTAATCATTGTGTTCTGCCAGTCAGGAAGGCATTTCCCCATCCACACTAACTTGCAATTTTCTTTCCTTCTGTGGAGGTAGGAAAAAAAAAAAAGAATCATCCATGGCCTGCTTGAGCCATGGTGAAAAAAACCCAAAATGCATTATCAGCATGATCTTCTTTACAAAACTTTTAAACAACAACCTTATGGAGCTCCAAGGTCTTTGGTATTTTATTAGCTCAGATTGTTGCTTATAATACTTGATTTGTTCTTTAGTGTTTTTGGGTCAGAGCATTTTTTGTTCCATTTTCTGTTAGAGGTGCAGTCCACCCAAAACTGATAGTTAAATGATAAGTTGGGCCTATTGGAATGAGTGAACCTCTGATTTCCTATATCTCTTGGGGCAAGATGTACGATTTATGGTGAGCATTGTTAATTTTGACTTCTAATACATAGCAGAGAAGGCAGCAGGACCACAGCAGCACTGCTGGCACTAGGGGGTTTATTTACTAAAGCTGGTTCACTCAGACTCTCGTGATCCTGTGCATGGTAGCCAATCGGCTTCTAACCTCGGATTGTTCAATTAAGCTTTAGCAATAAAACCTGGAAGCTGATTGGTTTCTATGCAGAAGTGCACCAGATTCCGAATGAACCAGCTTTAGTAAATAAACCCCTAATTGTGTCAACATTAAAGTTTTGCTGTCGCATTACTTGACATCCAAAGGCATCTGTTCCCTTTAAACTCAAAAGGTTTATTTACTTGAATGCATTCTCTGCATTAAAGTGTTACTAAACCCGCAACAGTAAAATAAGCCTGTATATGCAGTAAAGCATGCTTGTTATACTCCCTGTGGAACCTAAGGGGTTAATCCTCTGCATTGTGTAAAAACGCTGTTTTGATTCTGACTTCTCTGCTCTTCTGCTTGTTCAAATGGCCACGTCTTATCTCCTGATAAGACAGACTGAACCCGTAGCCACATATACATGCTCAGTTTAGTGTGTATTGCTAGAGAGGTTTTTTTATTCTTGGGAGAGTGCATGTGATCAACCCAGGGCCAATCCTCACTCTCCAGACAGAGGTCAGGGGTTTTGCATCCTCCTAGAGCAGAAAGAAAACTCCTCCTACAAGCTTTAACCAGTGCTCTGCTGAAGTCACAAGACTGCTCTAACTGCTGATGAGAAAAGGTATTTAGCAGTTTATATTTACTAAATTAATTGCGCTTCCATGTTGTGTGTACTGTGAGGGACCAGATATAGTGAATGCAGGGTCCTGAGTTTAGTAACAAGGTAAAAACTTTCCAATACCTGTTCCTCCCACCCCCAGACCTAAACTCTTACTTGGATCCAGTCTTGGTCCAGCACTGTCTCCAGTTCCAGCAGCCTTCTCCCCTCCTCCTGCTTTTACAGAGAGCAGTGGAAGCCATTGGCTTCTGTACCTGTCAATCACATCCTGGGAGGAAGGATCAGGGGAGTGGCCAAGCCACGCTGTGTGTGTGTCTATGGACGCACACAGCTGGCTCGGGAGCATGCCCACACAGCACCCTCAGCACACAGCTTGCTGAAGGGGCACCCACAGGGAAGGAGTAGTGGACAGTGTCGGCGGGGGACTCCAGAAGAGGAGGGAAAAGAATGCTCTCTGCAGTACCATTCCACAGAACAGCTAAGTATAACTTGTTTTAATTAGCAAATAGCCTTACAGCTACTTTAAAGTGGAGTTCCACCAAAAAAATAAATAAATAAATAAAAGTCAACATCTACAAAAACTGTAGCTACTGACTTATAAAATACAGCCACTTACCTGTCCCTCGGTCCAGCTGTATCTTTACCACTGCTGGTTTCACCTGCCGTCTTCTCTCCCTGTTGCCGGCATCTTCAGTGTGGGCACCCGGCTGTGACAGCTTGGGGCTTCACAGCCGGGTGCCCACTAAGCATGCACGAGAAGCGCTGCGCTTTGTGAATGGCCCTGTAGTCTTCTGGGACCTGACGCATTTTCCAGAAGACTACGGGGAGGACAACTTCCGCTTCCAATCGCCTAGGAAATCGCAGCGGAAGTGGGAGCTTGTACCTGCCAATCCTTAATGGGGAGCAGGGGACAAAGACTTAAAGTGGAACTTCCCCTTTTGGGCGGAGCTCTGCTTTATCTCCATTTCTTTTTCCAAACTTGAAAATAAAGATTTGCTATCTCTATAAAACTCACTTTCTCAACAAACTCATTCCTGTGATCTATCAGCAGGTTGACTGACACCTACGGTCACCAAACAAACCCAGGTTGTCATAGCCACACCCCCTGGGGGCGGGTGAATCATCTCGCCAGCCGGAGCTCAAAGAAAATCTAGGACAGAATGGCATTAACATGTTCTGCACTGTCCAGGAATTAGGACCACCAATGTCACCACCAGAGTAGAGGAAAGATGCATGAAGTCACCATAGTGGCTGTATGACTACAGGACTACAGTTATATATGGTCTGGCAGATAGGGGGCAGAATGGGTCATTATGGGACTTGGGTTTAAGTTGCTTTTGGCAAGTCCAGTGTGTCTGCGTTGTAGGAAATCTTTTAGTTCGCTCCCTTCCCGGGTGTCCAGTGTTGGCCTCACCTACGCCATGCTTGCTCCGCATCACTGACTCCCAAAGTAATGAAGCAAGGCTGACAATGACGACCTCAGAGCCTGCACAACAAATGACAACTGTCACTGCTCATGTTTGGATTCTGACAGCTTTCCCATACACCAGATCCTAATGAACTCTTCTTTATTTCTATTTTTCTGCTCTACCAAAAATGTTCTCTGTGCCGTTCATTACTTATCCCATAGATGCCAAAGGTTACAGAAGCTTTGCTCCAACAACAAGTACATTCTGCCCACATTCTGTAATAGGCCTGCTCCAGATTTTTCTTCTTTCTACGGCGTGTGATTGATTATGTTGCTAGGAAACAGCTCTAAGCAGTTAAGCTTTTTCCCATGTACTGCGGTGAATGAACCTCATATGGTGTTTGCTGTATGTTGTAACAGCTACAAAGTGCGACATGCATTAGCCTGGAAATGTAATTGCTGGTTTAAACTGAGCAGCCATTAAACATGTTAGATGGAGGTGATATCGGAAAGAAGAAATCCGAAGTGATACTGCTATTACTTCTCCATAGTACTTTTGCCCTTCAAGACCTCCGTAGACTGCCTCGGCAGTGGCAATGTGATCAGCTGCCAGGAGCAATGCGCAAGACCATACATTAACCAATCATTAATGCTCTTTCATTGTTTTCACTGCGGTTATTTAAGGAAAAGGTAAATCAGATTGGCTGCTGTGGGATATTTTCACAGCTTTTACTGTGAAGAAGCCTTTCCGCATGTAAAGGTTAAATCTCTTCCTGCAGACATAAAAAGTGCCCCCTTGTCCTCTGTAGTGAAGTCAGTCACATGAAGTAAGTCATATGTTCCTCCTTACCAGAATTACCAGGTATTTTATTCCCTCCCAGCAGCTGAAGGTGAAGGATAAGTAAGTGTACAGTTAGGTCCATAAATATTTGGACACATGCACAATTTTCATACTTTTGTCTCTGTATGCCACCAGAATAAATTAAAACGAAACAATCCAAATGAATTTGAAGCGCAGACTTTCAGCTTTAATTCAAGGGGTTGAACATAAATATCATGTACACATTTTACTGCAACCATTTTTATACAAAGTCCCTCCATTTTCAGGGGTTCAAACGTAATTGGACAAATGAATGTAATTATAAATAAAATGTTCATTTTTAATATTTTGTTGAGAATCCTTTACTGGAAATGACTGCCTGAAGTTTTGCCAGGCTCTAATTGCAGCTGTCTTCAGTTGTTCTTTGTGGGACTTGCTGCCTTTAGTTTTGCCTTCAGCAAGTGAAATGCATACTGAATTGGGTTTAGATCAGGTGGTTAACTTGGCCAATGCAGAATATTCCACTTCTTTTCCTTCAAAAGCTCCTGGGTTGCTCTTGCAGTGTGTTTTGGATCATTGTCCATCTGTACTGTGAAGCACCTTCCAATCAACTTTGCTGCATTTGGCTGAATCTGAGTTGACAGTATATCTCTAAACACTGCAGAAT